AGAAGAATAAGTTAATTAAACGAAAAAAAATTAAGCAGAAAGAAAAACCTGTAAATAGATCAAGGTCTGATTTTTGATCTCTAGGCATGTCCTTCAGTCACGACCGATGGGGTACCATGCTCTGGCCCCCGAGTCTGTCCTTTGTACTCCCTCGGGGCTCTCTACTCTGCTCCCACGATTGCTCTGCCACATGCTTTTTGTGGTTTGCCTCGGTGTCTCAGGGTCAGTCTGGGCCAGTCCGGACACTGAGTCTCCAGTGTTGTCCCCCTTAGAGCCCGGGGCCATCAAGGGATGGCGTGTCTCATGGTGGGATCAGCCATATTGTCCACTCTGTCCATTGGCTGTTCAGAGCGGGGATGTCGTCCTCCAGGCCTGGTGGGTCAGGATGTGCTCCACTCTCTCTTCCTCCCTCTAAGTGCTCCCATTTGCCCTGATCAGACATGCCCCTCTCCCCTAGCTGCAGCGTCATTGCTGTCCTCTCAAGTAGATTCTTCTGGGGGGAGGGGCAGTTGTCCACGAAGTTGGCATGGGGGCCGAGCCCTCAGGCCCCTCCACTGGCTCCTCACTCCTTGCCAGCAAGCTGCATTCGTCTGGCACTGGCTTTAAATCTGGTCCCTCTTTCCCTGTGGAGACACAAACAATACCCTCCCCTTGGGTGGTCAGTGCCCTATTCCCCCATCACATATCCCTTCCCCCCCCCTTTCCCCTTTCCTTCCTCCCCACCCCTTTGTGGTTGGCTACCCTATGTACCCCTGGATTTGGTCTGGCACCTGCCATACTACCTGGACCTTACCCCTAGAGTGTTTGTATACTACAGTAGCTTTTTCCCTGTGCCCCTTTTGCATTTACCTTTCTGTTCTTTCTTTTATATGTATATATAAACTTATCTCAGCGGACTCATGTTATACTTGTCCTTTTGTGCTTGGCTTGCTTTGCTTAGCATTATTTCCTCCAGTTCTTCCCATGTGGCGATATGCTTCATGCGTTCATCGCTGTTTTTTAGCAGCACTCTTTTTTCTCTGGGGGTCTCAGCACTTACCCGACAAAGGAGCCCCACTCCTCTCTGGGGCCTTGCTGGAACCAGGGCAGCTCCGATGGCCTGGCTGGCCAGGGTCAGGAACCCCAGCACCTCAGGGGGCAGCAGAGGAACCAGGAGCCAGTTGTCAGTGTGGTCTGGAGCCTCAACCCTCCTGCCCCAAACCAGGAGACGCAACAAGTCCTGCCTCTGGTCACCAGGAGGCCAGTGCTGAGGCCACAGGGTAACTAGACCACCTCTCCAAGTCTGGGTGCCCTGGTCTGCTAGCGGATGTGCACACGTGGCACAGGGAGTATGGGGCTGCTGGACACACCTGGGGGATGACCCTGGTACTACACAGGCCAGTCTGGGTTGCCCCCTCCCAAACATACTCATCCCTGTGGGAGGCCAAGAACCCCTCAAGCTGGAACCCTAGAGAGCCCCTGTGAGCACGCGGCACGGCACCCCTTACTGGTCACAGACAGACCTTGCAATGAATCACTTTTCTGGGGCTGGTGGCGAGGCGGTTAAGACTTGGACTGCTGACCATGAGGTCAGCAGTTCAAAACCACCAGACACTCTCCCCGGAGAAAGATGAGGCTTCCTACTCCCATAGAGAGCTACAGGGTCAGGAGCCTGCCTGTACTACAAACTTGCTAGGAGCCAGAATTGACTCGAAGGTTTGGCAAACCGAGCCGAGCCCAGAACTTCCCAATAGGACCGATGGGCAGTGAGAGGAGGGCCGTTCTACGCTCTGCTCCCCCATCGGGTGGCTGGTTGAAGGGCAGCCAGGCTTTGCTTTCTTGTTTGAGATGATTCAGTAGGGGCTGTGTGGGGTGGGGATGGGGCAGGTCCTTTTTGTACCTCATGTAGGGGCTCGGGAGCCCCTCAAGTTTGGTCTTGTATCCCAACTGCTACACCAGCCTGTGTCCTTGTAGTGCTTCCTGGGGGATAGCCCAGCCCCCTCCTGTTTTGCCATCACCTAGGTGCCTGGCTGGGCACCCATCTCTTATCTGGACACTTTGAGGAGGGTGGGGAACCCAAGGGACCCACTTTTTCCAGGTTGCTGTGTCAGGAGCCTCACTGTGTCAGCTCAGAGGTGGGTGACATGCCCCCTGCTTCAGAAACAGGGGCCCCTGAGACTCAGAGAAGGACTGTGACATTCCCCAAGACACTGGACCCCAGAGTTTACAGTTAGGCCTCTTTGCTTCCAAGCCCCAAGTACTCACAGCCTCCCCAAATTATCCACCAAGAGCCAGCAATAACAGAATTATATTTATTGAATCACAGACCCCTGCCGTGGGGGAAGGAAACCTTTACCTAGTGGGTGTGGGTGGGGTAAGCCATCCCGATATCTGAATTGGCAGTTCCCCGAGAGCCCCGATGGCTGCGTGTCCAATCAGAGGCTTCGGGAGATGGGAAGGGAGGGTGTAACACGCTAGGGACAATCCCTGTGCTGCCATCCTGGGGAGATGGCTGTGTTCAGCCCCGGGCCACGGCAGGAGTGTAGGGCCAGCCGAGCGTTCTCCTAGGACCCAGCCGGGTTGGTAATCTTCCCCAGGAAGAGTACGGATGACGTCTTCTCTTGGCAGATCATCATCAGGAAGGTTCTGTTGAACCTGACCTCTTCCGGCTTCTCCATGGGCAGAGTCTGGGCTCCGGTGCCTGCAGCACCCTCCGAGCCCTTCTCGTCCAGTCTCAGGTTGGCCTTGTGGATGGCCTGAGGGAGCCGGGAGAGGGGGTTAGTGCTGACTGAGACCCTCAGGAACCATGGCAACAACAAAAACAAAGCCTGGGAGAGAAAGGCTGTGGTGAGAATCCCTTCCCTAGTCCCTGAGCTCCACCCCCATCCTGGGTTCCTGGCTTCTCTGCAGCCACCATTGAAGGGTGCTCAGCCGAAGAAGGGCATGATGGGCAATAGGATGCATGTGCGGGCACTCATCACGGGGGCTCAGAAGACAGAAGTGTGGGTGTGTGCTCTCCTTCCCACAGGCTGAAGAACTGTCAGCCAGAACTCAAGGCAGAGGGGCGGTGGAGCCTGAGCTAGCTGGAAGGGAGGTGGTGGCGTGTCCACCCTGATGCCTCCAGCTGTCACCACACTCTGCTCCCCCCGTGGGTGGCTGCATGAGGGGGAGTCAGGCTCTGTTTTCTTGTTGGAGATGATTCAGGCCCAAGGGTCTCAACACCTGGTGATTGAGACCTATCTGGACCTCAGGTGATAGGCTGGTTGGTCTCGTTCGATTAAATAAAACTCTTGGCAATTCTACTTCCAAGAAACAGGCACATCTCCCACGTCTGCCTCACGGGCTCCCAGCTGCCAGTTTGCCTAGGGACAGACAGGAGATGAGCTGTGGAGACGGGGTGAAACACTGAGCTTACGGGACATCCTGGAAAGGAGGTCTTAAAGGCAAGAAAACCCGACCTCTGTCTTTCCCTACTTGCAAAACCGAAAACCAGTCAGTACTCTGGTTCAGTCAGGAAGGAGAAGGGTTCAGTAAAGCTGAAGAGGAATAAGGGGGGGGTCAGTCCAGAAGGGGAAACTGAGTCACCTAAGGTTGCCCGGCTTCCCCATGCCCAGGTGGAACTAGACACTTGAAGTCCTTGTTCAGAGCCCCCAGCCCCTCGAACTCCCAACAGTTCTGGGCCTGGCTCCAGGACATTCTGAGATACCCCTTCGCTGGGTGGTGGGCCAAGTCCCAGAGCAGGGAGTGACCCCAACAGTGCAGGGGACCTCCCTTCAAGCCCATCATGAATGATGCCCTGGGAGGCAGGGACCTGGTCTTCCTGAGCCAGTTGTTTCTGGTCTGAATGAGAATGGAGCTTCCCGCCCCCACCCTCCCTCACCCCAAAGCTCAAGGGACCCCAAAGGAGGAAGGGACCCTTCAGGAGAAGGCTCTATTAGACACCTGTATCCATTAGTTTCACGACATGGCAAGTCCCGTGGAACCTGAAGCCAGGAAACCAGGCTGGGGAGGCCCAGGAGAAGGGTGATGTGATAGTTAGGCTTATTGTACCAACCTGGCTACTAGGTACATGTGGGCTTAATCAGGTTGCAGTTTGATTGACGGGCAAAGAGATAAATGGCTCTGCAAGGCCCACCCTCGTGTGTCTCTTGCTCTCTGGTGATCTGACCAGGGTGCTGCTGCTTGAGCTAGTGTGCTGCACTACCTGTGGGCCAGGCTAACCCATAGATCATGTCGTTAGAGCTGGAGGCTCCTTTGAGGCCTGTTTCACCGTGATGCTGGTGTGCACATTGCTTGAACTTGAGGCAGGTGGATCCTGTCGTCTTGCACTGCTTGAGTTTGATATCCCATCCGGACCTGCTTTGCTAAGCTCCCAAGCTACTGACTGTTGCTGACCCACCCTGCTGTCTGTTGCCTGCGGGCAGACTCTGCTGCCTCGCCTGAGGGAGGACTCCACTGTCTGCTTCCTTCACCTTGACCAAAGCCCCCTCTATGAGTTGAAGGACTTCCAGTATCTTAACTGTTCCCCAAAGTGAGTTGAACGGAGCCCTCTGTACTGCTGTGTTGCAGACTAATTAGCTGTTATATTCCTTCTCACTGTACAAAGCTTATATCTATAAGTGTTCTGATTTTGTTTCTCTAGAGAACCTTGCCTGACACAGGTGACGAGGGGTAGCACTTCAGAGTTTGTAGGATGTTTCCTCATCCACTTCCTTATGCTGTGCTCCCTGGAACCCCCAAAAGAACGGGCAAACCTCGCCACCCAGATAAAAATATGGGCTCAGAGAGGGGAAAGGACCCTTGATTCCCATCTAGGCAAATAAGCCCCAGTCCCAGGTGGTGGGGAGTCAGTCGGAGGAGGCCCCTACCAAGAAGGGGGTGTGCTTCAAGTTCAACCAGATGTGTTTGAGCCCATCCCAGTGCCTGGGGAGCTCATGAGCCTCAGGGTAGAGTGACTCTCCAGGGGCCATCAGGGGCAGAGTTTTCTAATGTTGCCTGCCAGGTGCCCCTGTGGTGAACTCACACCTGTCACCTTTGGGTTAACACCTGAGCATGCTAAACCTTTGCGCTGCTCAGGGACTCCCAAAGGGTCCAGACCCTCTTGCGGCTCAACACTCATGGGTTGGGGGCAGTGCACACAGCTACAGGGCCCCAGAGCTACCTCCGACCATCCTGAAGGATGCCCACGCCTCTAGCACCCAGGGGAGGTCACAGAGGCTGCAGCAGCATGCGTGAGCCCTGTACTTGCCACCCCCCTGTGCCCGGGTGATGCTGGGAGACCAGCTGCCTCCTCCAGACCCTCATTCAGGGCATTTGCGTGATGCCTGATGCCGCCTATGCTAAAGGAATGGTACCTTCCATCATCAGAGTTGCTCCAGGCTCTTCCTGCCCTAAGCCTGCCCTGCAAGGTGGGATCTTGGGGCTCCTCTTTGCCTTTTTGGGGCTGCCTCCACTGCTGTCCTATCAACACCAGATAGAAACAACTGTGTGGCCCTGGCAAGGACCTGGCTCATAGGAGGTACCTGGTACTGGTTGGATGAATGACGAACGGACCCTATTTGGACTGAGAGTGCCTCTCAGAGCATCTTCTTGCCACCAAGCCTTGGGGTCTTGCCCTTCCCACACTGGCCATGCATGGCTGCCACACACTTGGACTGGGCACCCTCTCTCCTGGCACAACTCTGGTCGAGCTCTTTCGGTGGACCCACAGAGCCTTCTGATGCAAGAAAGCCTGCCCAGCTTGCCACCTAGTTCTTCACAGATGGCTTGAGCTTCTCCCTTCACTCCTGTGGACCTCAAAACACTTCCCAAACCCCCCTTCCCCTTACCACACCCATCCTTGCCTCCTTGAAGGGGTAGCTCAATGCCTTCTTTCCCCAGAAGCGCGGTTGCTAGCGGAAACACAGAACGTCCACTTGTATCTGACAGCCATGGTTTTGTATCCATCTGTACTGTGTGCTAAATGTCCCATGGCATATTGAGCAATGATTAGCTGCCAACCTGAAATAGTAACTGGGTGCCCTGGATTGGATCTGGTAAGTCTGGCCCTCTCTGTGTATCCTGAATAAGCAGGGACTTGCTTCCTGGGAGGCCACGAGGCCCTCTGTAGATGTAGGTTTCCTTCATGCCAGGCATGTTTGTGGGCTATGCCGCTCCCAATAAGTCCGGGAGGCCTTTGGGTAAGGTGACCAGATTTAAAGCAGGACACCATTGACCAGGGGGTGGGGGGTGTTCTTGATTTAAAATTTGGTCTATATGGACCAAATAGACTGTCCCCTAGCTTGTCGTGCATTCTTTCAAAAAATCGGGACTTTAAAAAAACGCCAAAAATTGGGACTGTCGCGCCAAAAGCAGGATGTCTGGTCACCTTACCTTTGGGTGACCTAGACCATGTGCAGACCTACATTGCTGTTGGCCTACAACCCGAAGTTCCACATCTGTTGTCCTGGAGTTGATTTTCAACTCATAGTGACAGGGTAGACCTGCCCCCATGGGGCTCCCAAGGTCGTAATCCTTATAGAACGTGGCAGTTCCATAACTTCAGGTCCACTTAAGGATAGATAAAAGTGTTGGGGTGGTATTCAACCTGCCAATCAGGCCACAGCCTGATGGTGCCTCCTTGTGGGCATGACCTTCTCCTAAGGAGGGCCCTGGAACCTCCCCTTCTCTCTCTGCCTTCCCCTTCTTGATGGCTGACCCTGGTTGCCGCCAGAGTCTTGTGATGTTACCATCGACATTGGATCCACTCGACTTTGCACCCACCGGCCTGTGATCTTCCTGCGTTCTGCACCACTGCACGTGGCTGCGTGAGTCTGAAGAGGGACTTCTGGACTAGGATTGGACTTAGGGACTTGAGCTGGACTGGCCGGGATGTTTTCTTGATAGATAACTACTTCTTGAGATGAAGCTCTTTCATACACATAAACGCGCGTCACTGCATTTGTTTCTCTAGTCAACCTGCCTCACACACAGCAGGGCACCGCCTCATCTTTCTCTCATGGAAGAGCTGATGAGTTTGAACTACCGATCTTTCCCCCAGCAGCTGAACACTTAACCACGGCACAACCAGGGCTCCTTTGGTGGTCTCTACCCCCAAATCCAAACCCACTGCCATTAAGTCAATTCCGACACATAGTGATTCTAGATTGGGTTTCTGACACTCGTCTTTCTCTTACCAAGCAGCTGGTGGGTTTGAACCTATGAACAGCAGCACAATACCTACCCCACAGTGACCCTAGGGTGCTTTTTATTGGCCTCTCCAAAACTTCACTGCCATCGAGTCAATTCTAACTCATAGCGACCCTATACATCAGAGTAAAACTGCACCTGTGGCTTCAGAAACGATCACTCTTTACCATAGTAGAAAGCCTCCTTTCTCCCAAGGAGCCACTGGTGGTTTCAAACTGCTCATCTTGTGGTTTTCAGCCCAGTGTGTAACACCCACCCCAGCCCCACTCCTGCTCCCGGGGCTCCTTTGTTGACCTGTAGGAAGAGCTTATTGAATTGGTTTTCACGCTGTGTGATGACTTACTGACTCTGCTGCCTTACCTCTCCCACCTTCAGGCTGCGGTGAGGGGAGATCCTGGTGAGGTCACCGTGTTCCTCAAAGATTTTGGTGATACCGAGGTGGGAGAATAACTTCTTTAAGTTGTAGGTACCGGTGATGGTGAACTTGGGCATGAACACATCTACAACCCTAGGGGAGGTAGAAGTGACAAAGGTGAGGCAGTGGGTCCTAAGAACCGTGAGGGACCCCAGAACCTGAGATCTTCCCTCTCCGTGAGACGGGTCCTCGGCTTCAAGATCGCCTGTGTGCTCTGTGCAGTGTCCTGTCCCGGAGCCCTCACCTCCCAGCAAGCCCTGTCAGATGCCCACCACCTCAGAGTGCCGCCACCTGCAGTCAGGGAGTGTCCCTCCCACGGCAGACTCGGCCACACCCTACCTTAGTATCCCCGTTGGCCCCAGTGGGCTAGATGCCAGAAGCTTCCAAACCCAAGCGAAACGCATGGCCCTCGAGTCGGATCTGACTCAGCCTGTGGGTTTCTGAGACTCTTTACCGGAGTAGAAGAAACCCTCGTCTGTCTTGCGAGGAGCGGCTGGTGGTTTCGAGCGGCTGACCCGGCGGTTAGCAGAACTGAGTTCAAATCAGTGCTGCCTTTCACACACTCTGTCTCTGAACAAACCATTTTACCTCTCCAAGTCACTTGTCTCAGGAGGGTGGGGAGAACCCTGGCCGCCCCCGACAATCAAAGTGCTGAAGTAGAAGACAAGGAAGATCATCGTCGAGCAGCAGAGACTGGCAAGCGCTCTTCTTTTCGCCCTTACGTAGCAGCTCCACTTCCTGCGTGGGTTTGACCTAGACGGGGCCCCTGCCTCAGAGCTGGGGGCAGGTGCACCTGAGGCACCTGAGGAGTTCCCCAGCCCCTGGGCCTGGGAGCCCATTTCTTCTTGCTATTCCGAGAGCCTCCCTACCCGCTGCCGGTTGGCTCTCTCTCCTGCAGCATTGGTGGGTGACATCATCTTGGCCAGTCTCAGAAGGAGACTGCACCCTGGAATATCTCCCATCTGAAGAAACCAACACACCACCAGCACTACCCATTGCCTCTCTCCTTTTCACAGCCCAACTCCCTGAAAAGGCACCTCCACTTCCTCCCAATGTCCCCTCAACCCACTGGAGTCAGGCTTTGGTCCTCCACTTTCTACCGAAATCGCCCTTCACTCGGGACTGGTGACCTCCCTCACTAGATCTGGTGGCCAATTACTGGTGAGCAGCCGCTGATGGCTGCTCTCTTTCTCCATATTGGAGGAGTCCCATCCAAGCCCAGTGCTCACAGGTTTGCCCTCTCTTCCCTTGACCTTGGCTGGTTGTACCACATCCCCTGCCTCCAATGGTTTGAACAGATCTGAGCTGGGTCTGTTCTATCTTTATTCCTTCCCTGGGGGGTCACTGTCCGTTCCAGCTATCTTCATGTCATCTACATGCCCCCCGCCCAACTCTCAACGTTACCTTTCCACTCATTCATTCATTCACTCATTCATTCAACAAGTACTCATGAAGCGCCTGCTGAATACTGGACACTGTTCGAGGTACTTGAGTTGCATCAATGGAAAGGATAAGCAACTGGCCAAGTCAAGTCCATGAGACACTGTCTGCTGACTTCTAGCACAGAGGAGTGGTTGGAACTTTGATTTTTAGCAGGACAGCCATTCCCCCAAATGTTATTTTAGGAAGAATCCTAACAAATATGGAGAGGTGTGGCAGAGCACCCAGGCTGGGGTGGACCCATCCACATCTATAATAGGAAAGTCATTATTTCAAAGCCCACCAAAGTTTGGGAGCTTTCTTGCTGCTTGTTTGGGGCTGGGGTGGGGTGGGGGCGGTTAGAGCAGACTTCTAATGATGCAGTAATGAAGCATGGTGTGGCCGCCACGCCGAAGTCTGGTTGGTAACCCACATTCCAGCCTGTCACCCCACGCAGGCCTCAGGCATGTCTGCGAGGTGTGTGTCTGTTGACTTGGACACATCTATTGGGAAGACCGGTTATTTGCTCCTTCCTCTTCTTTGAGGCCTTCCCAAATGTTGACAATGGGAGAAGGAACAGATGGGCATAAAGCAGGGGTGGCAGTGGTTGAGACAGGACACTGGACTCTAAAAGAATGAGCTCAGAATGCAGGAATGCTGGCCTCGTTTGTTCTTACGACAGCTCGGTGCCCTCCTGGGAGTCACAGACAAGTTCCCTGCCCTGTGAGAGGACTCGGAGTTTCCCAGAAGGGAGGAGACACAACTTTGGTCAGTGAGAGAAGAGATTGCAGGGGAAGCCTTTACCCGGAATGAGAGGAATTCTCCTCTTTGAGGTTCTCCTGAAATCAAGCCAAGGAGAGTCAACGTAATGTAGTAGCAGGGGTGGGGCTGGGCGTGGGGTGTCTATCAGTGGAGACAGACCAAGAGCTAGATAGGAGCCACCTTGGAATTGACCCTGAAGGCAGCATGCACCTGGACCCCAGGAGGCGTCACTTCTGTGTGCTCTAAGTGATCCTTGGGCCCCTGGGCAGGACACTGATTTCAGAACCCCCGATCCTCCAGCAGAGGCTGACTGGGCTGTCTTGCAGGAAGTCATGGAGGCCCCAGCCATACCTGGGAGAAGAGCACCGGGTGGGGAACTCCCTCATGAAGCCAAAAAGATGGTGGCCACCTTCCTGAGGATACCTGGACATGGTTAGTGATGGCCTGACGGGGGCCTCAGCCAGAAAGGCTGCAGAGAGAAAACTTGGTGAGGTGAGCAGAAGGACCTAGTGCCAGCTTGGGGGCACATCTCGTTGGGGGACCACCAGAACAACTCGGGGAACGGGGCTGGCCACTCGGAGGATGGGGAGCTCTGGCGGTCCACAGGCAATGTCTCCACCACTCTCCCTTGACGGCGTTAAAGGAAAGCTGTGTGAAGCTGGGACGGACCGGATGACCGAGTGGGGTAGCCATCCCACTTGGCCCCCTCCCACTGTCCTCACGCTTCTCCACCCACTGGAGACCCCCTCCTCCCCGACACCTCTGGGAAGGCTAAGGCTCAGGTTAGGTCATGGTCCGCTCCTTCTAGAACATCCCCCTGCTAAGAGAGGGTTGTGTCCTCACGATCAGCAGATGCGCTACCATCTTGGGCTGTACTCTACAGGCAGGAGGGTTATTTTAGGAACCCGAGGTTCAGAAGTGACCTGCAGCCAGCCTCTTGACCCACGGGAAGGCATTGGAGAGGTGAGCCGCTTCTGCAGGCCAGCTTGTGCTAAGCCCTCAGTCCCTGCCATCAAACTGATGCTGACTCACAGCAACTCAATAGGACGGAGGACAATGGCCCCAGGCGGGTTTCTGAGATTGGAGCTCCTGATGGGAACAGAAAGCCCCATCTTTCGCATTGTCATCCTCATTAAAAAAATGTCAATTGCATCATCAGAACCAAAAAATCTTACCATAATGAATGATGTGGGGAGTGCGGCGTGGAGACCCAAAGCCCATTAGTAGGCCACTGGAGATCCCCTTGCAGAGGGGTCTCGGGGAGGAGACGAGCCAGTCAGGGTGCGATGTAGCAACGATGAAAAATACAACTTTCCTCTAGTTCCTAAATACTTCCTCCCTGCCCCCACTATCATGATCCGAATTCTACCTTGCAAGTCTGGCTAGACCAGAGGATGTACACTGGTACAGATGGGAACTGGAAGCACAGGGAATCCAGGGTGGATGATCCCTTCAGGACCAGTAGTGTGAGTGGCGATACTGGGAGGGTAGAGGGAGAGTTGGTTGGAAAGTGGGAACCGATTACAAGGATCTACATGTGACCTCCTCCCTGGGGGACGGACAACAGAAAAGTGGGTGAAGGGAGATGTCAGACAGGGCAAGATATGACAAAATAATAATTTATAAATTATCAAGGATTCATGAGGGAGGGGGGAGCGGGGAGGGAGGGGAAAAATGAGGACCTAATGCTGGGGGCTTAAGTGGAGAGCAATGATGTTTTGAGAATGATGAGGGCAATCAATGTACAAACGTGCCTTACACAATTGATGTATGTATGGATTGTGATCAGGGTTGTATGAGCCCCTAATAAAACGATTTAAAAAATATGTCAATTGCTGTCAGGGTGACTCCGCCCCATGGCTGCCTGGTGCGGGTCAGGGCACTGTGCTTCATGGGACTTTCAAAGGCCAAGCTCAGAGGTACCATTACCCAGGCCTTTTGTTCAAGGTGTCGCTGAGTGGTGTCAAACCACCAACCTTTCCATTGGCAGGGGCCCACGTGGACCATGAGCACAACCCAGCATCCCAGCCTCTCATCGGCCCCATCCTGGGGGGTGAGGATAGGGGCAGGCAGGGGGGGTGTTGGCTGCCTCACCCATGAGAAGACTGAGTTAGTCAGGACTGGAATCCAGGCCCCTCTCCCTGTTTCAGGGACCAGAGACTCTGCCCACACTTGCAGCCCCTGGGTTTGGCCTTGGGGGTTGGCGGGAGTGTTGCCGAACCTGGCTCTGGAAGCCCTTTCCATCCCCTAAGGTACTACTATTGGTCAGCCTGCCATTTGGCCTGCTTTTTGCCCCACAGAGGGTAGCCCAGCTCCGTCCTAACCTTGTCTCTGGCTCTCTTCAGACCTTCCCCTGCCTCCGATCACAGTAGGTATGGCCAAAGGTCTCGAAAGAACTTTGGGTTGGGGAACGACGAATGGGGGCAAGATGGAAGGAAGAAGACGAAGATCTGGGCACAGGGGCCCTGGGACACACCCCTTCCCCACTTCCTTCCTACCACGATTCCTCCAGGACACACCCGCCTGACAGCAAGTCCTCAGGACTTCTTAACTCTCACGCCAGTCTCTACCTTCCCAGGAAAAATCCCACAGAGTCAAGAGCCCGAGAGAGGTTCTGTAGTCATTACCTCGAGTCTGTTTTAAGTTGGGGCTTGAAAAAGAAAATACTTACTCATTTTGGTTCTTCAACGGGGACCTCTTGTGCATCACGTTGGGGGCACATCCTCTCCTTCTGTGGTCAGACTGCCGTGCTACCCACAATGAACCATTTGGGGTTCCCTCTGACACCCCATGTGTTTTCCTTGGGGGGTCTCCCTTCCTAGGATTCCATAGCACCTCTTCCTTCCACATAGACTGAAGACAGCGCTTCAATGCCACTTCCTCTGGGAAGCCCTCCTGACCACATTCTCCAACAGAGCGTCTGGCTCCCTCCACTGGGTTCCCTGCTATCTTGATCTATCTCCCTAGCAGAGCACGTGTTCCCCTGGATCCATCTGATTTGTCCCCCTGTCTACACCCCTACAGAAGCAGAAGTTCCTCATTGAGTCTAGACGGGGACCCAGTCATAGAGAAATTGCATGTGAAATATATGATGGAGGCAGTAAAGAGAATGGCAGGGGGGCGGGGGCAGGGAGGCTGAGAAGCTGAGCGTACCGGGCATCGTCTTTACCTCTCTGTGATCATCTTTTTCCATTTGAGCATCACTTTGGTCACCATGGCCTCTTCCACAGCCTCCACTTTGCCCACGTCGGGAAGGATGAACATGGCCATGAAGTCTTTCTGGTAGGGCATTTCCAGGACGGTGCAGGAGAGCTGATTGTCATAGCCGACTTTGAACATGCCCCCTTGAAACATCATGGGCACTTTCACGGACTTGTTCTGGCCCAGCATGAAGTCTTCTTCTCTGGTCTGTTTTGGATCAAACTCGTGTTTCCACCTGGCTTAGGATTGCAGAAGGACAACGTGACCGTGAGCGCTGGAGGGAGAAGAGAGGCCTGTACCCAGAAAAGCACTGGTCTCTGGTTCGTTGGTGCTGGAAAATCAAGGCAGGTCCCCGAGTGAGGCCTACACCCATGCCATGCCCTGAAGGCTCTGGGGAGGGGGAGTGGTCTCAGATCTGATTATTTATTCCCAGGGAACCTAGGACTGAGGGGGGGTGATGAGGTGGCACACCCTTAGGCTTGGCTGTGCAGGGAGTGGCAGGAGGGACTGGATTACACTCACTAGGGACTCTTTAGGTCTGACCGGAGTATAAAGCCTGGGCCACTCCACTCCACTCCACTCTAAGTCTCGAACCACTCAGCAGCGACTCGGGAGAAAGACTGGGCTTCCTGCTCCTTCAGACCATTCCAGTCCTTGGAAGCCAGGGGGCTTGCTTTGAGTCAGTACTGACTTGATGGCAGCCAGAGAGAAAGCAAAAGGAGCCGACTGCCCTGGGGGGCGGGGAGGGGTGGGGTGGGGGGTGTGCTGCTGAAGAGCAAGGAGCACCCAAAGTTGGGTGTCTGGACCCTTCGTTTGGACCTTGATTTTCTCCCTGACGGTGATTTCTGCTGCAAGAAATGATACCAGAAACCCACCTTTCCTTTAATACATAAAAAATATTATCTGTAGACACAATCCACACCAAAGAAAACTTGACAGTTGGGGTGGAGGGTGGTGGGGGGGGGCGGGGAACGACACCTTGTCAGTAATATCAAAATATGTAAGGAGCAAGCAACATTTTTTTTTAAAGCCTCAGTAGAAATAATTGAGACAAAGTCAATCTAGCAGCCATGACAACTGCCCTGGCGAACAGTGGGGTTGACACTTTGGTTGTCGATTAATAAAGCTTTACAAACTAGAGACTGGAACATCACAGTTGGCTAACTTGGACTTCATCTCCATAATGGTCCAAAGAGGACTGGTGGCGGCAGGGCTCGTGGTTGGTAAAGTTTGGCAGAGACACAAACCAAATGAGTCAAAAGCAACACACCTGACACCCCCAGATGATCAACTGCACAGAAAGCCACTGAGTCAAACAAAAGATCATGTGCGAGCAGTTTAACTGTGTTCATAGAAAACTGAGCAGCGAATTGAGGTGTTTTAAAAGAACCCCCTCTGAAAGACATTTTCCCAGTGAAAGAGGAGAAAAACATCGTTGATCTTGCTTTTGGTGTAGTTCCCACCTGAATGTTTGCGACCGTAAATACAGAGCAACAAAGGCCCCAGAGGTCAGCGGATCTAAACATTCTGTGTAGCAGAGAGGGCAGCTGACCCCTCCTGCCAACCCACTGGGTGAGAGCAGAGGTGGACGCAGGTGCCTGAGCTTTCTCCTTAGCAGGTGTCTGAGCCTCTGCGAATCACAAGGAAAGGAGGAAAGACAGCCTTCACCCTCACGCTCTATACCTCGATGCTCCATTGAGGCCAATGGTTGTTCCACTGTTGCAGAAGCATGGCCTTGAACAAGCATCTCCACCTCCCTGAGCCTCAGTGTCTGTATCCCTAGAATGGGCATGTTGGTAGAAACCTCACCGGGCTGCTGTGAGACGGAGGGGGGGCTAACACAGCTCTGTGGCTGTGTCTAGAGAATGTTCTGGGAATACTGGTCATCATCAGCCTTGCCCTCATCACCCAGGTTCCTGTTGGAATCTAGTGATGAAGGACCATTGGGAATTCATGGATTTGCTGCTGCTCGCACCGGCAGACTACAGGACCAGTTGCCAGCCATCCCGCCTTTTCTCCCCTCCAGCCAGCAGTCTCCCTCTGGGTTTGAGGGTGACTGTGTGTTCAGATTCAGAACTCTGTTGCCAACGGCTCAGCAAGGATCATCTGTGGTTTGAAGGTGAGGTTGCTGCATGCATGCACGCGTGTTTGTGTGTGTATGACCATACGTGTAGTGGTGGAGGATGAAGCTTAGATTCTGAAACCTGTTTCCATCTTATGTTCCATCTCTGAAACTCAGATTTAAGGACTCACTAAACTCTAGTAACCAGACCACGTTCCCCTCCACAGTGATCATCACCAACCACCATTTTCACCACAACCACCAACGTCCTGGGCATTTGCTTGGGGAGGTGGAAAGCGCACAGCCTATGAGCCGCGAGAAGCAGTCTCTCCTGTCTTGACTCGCCTAGATTGGCTGTGTAACTCTGGACAAGTATCTCTCTGTGAATATCGCTTTTCTCATCTTCCAATAAATGTCACGTGAATCTTTACAATTGACCCTGTGTTAGGATAATCAGTACTGATAGCCACGAACAGATGGAGAATAATTCCGACTTCACAAAGCTTGTTCAGCACAAAGAACCCCAAGAGCTGCCCTATGAGTCATGCGTCAGGACGCTGGCCCGCCAATCAGTCTTCAACCTGCTTAATCCCACATGTCCCTATTGGCCAGGTTGGCACCAGGAACCTACCAGAAACCTATCACAGCTCATGATATAGATAATACAGTGGAGTTCTGAGAGATTCATGACATACGAGTTCAAGGTTCACCTTTTTGAATCCACATCTTTTGGATTCATACCGAACTGGCCCAAGCCTTACCTCGGAAGTAGATATAATTGATGAGAAGCATCACAGTGCCTGAATCTATTCTCTTGATCAGATTGCTAATCTTCCCATGGGTTTTCTGATGAACATAGTCGTTGATCTGCTTCTGAGTGGCTTCTAAGTTGTGGAAGTCGGTGGGAATGGTGTCAGCATTGTACAGACTCTTGACATCCGTCATAAACTTCTGACGTGGTTGCAGCCCCCGGTCTATGAACAGGATGTTGCTAAGATCCAACTTGAGATCCTGGTTCTGCTGGTTCAGTTCCTGGATGAGGTAATGGAAACCCTCGTGAAGCTCCTTGTCCGGCATGTCATGGAAACAGAAGGCCCGCTGGATCTCCTCCAGAGTGGAGTCCTGGGCGCCCAAGGACAACATGGAGAAGGCAGTGGACAGGCTTAAGGGGGAGAAGAAGATGTTCCCATGAGGTTCCGTAGAGGCCAGCTTCTTGAAGAGCCTGAAGCCAAATTCTGTGTTCCTCCTTGCGAGCTCCTGGGCTGTCTGCTTCCCCTTGGACACTTCCCCATTCGGAGAGGGCTTGTGCTCAGGGAAACCTTTCACTACCAGGAGGCCAGCCAGAAGCAGGCCCAGGCCCGGTGTGGGGTGCATGTTTCGTGGAGGTGGTCCTGGTGAGGAATAGATTGAATGTTAGAAAACAAACCAACAAGAAGAGAGCCCTATTGCCCCGTGCTTCACCACAAGGAAGAGGAGATGAGCATGATCATTCAGTGACCAGTGCGTGCTCTTTATAATAGTTCATAAGGGTTTGGGACTCAGACGAAATCATTTATAAGGAGTAGAAGTACTTTGACGTGCATAAGAGCCCTGGTGGCTCAGTGGGTTACACATTGGGCTGCTAGCCGCAAGGTCGGCAGTTCAAAACCACCAGCTGCTCCACAGGAGAATGATGAGGCTTCTTTTCCTGTAAAGAATCACAGTGTCAGAGAACCACAGGGACAGTTCTGCCCTGTCCTCCAAGGTCGCTATGAGTCAGAGTCCACTCAATGACTCTGGTTGACATGCAGATAGCATCTAACCTAGGAATTCATGCCGTTTAACCTGGGCACGAGAAGGGATTGTCCCCATTTCATCAAGGAGAGGTCTGACTACTACTCTTGGGTGTGTGCCTGCCCTTCTGAGAGTACTAGCACCTCAGTGCTTCTGAGGACCTGCCCCTCTCTACTCTGTGGAGTCATGATAAGAATACCCCACTGTGTGGACACTGGGCCAGAGAACAAAAGCACCCCCCCTCCACTGCCATCTGGTCAATTCTGACTCCTACCAACCCTGTGGACGGGGTAGAAGCGCCCCTGTGGGCTCCCGAGACTGCAAGTCTCTACAGGAGCAGAGAGTCCCACCTCTCCTCTGTGACTCAACAGAGGTACTCCATCCACCTGCCACACTGGCTCCTTAAGGGATGATGGACCACGGGACCCAAACCACTCCGATCAGTATGAGTCTCAGGGAATGCAAAGCCCTCTCCACAATGGGGGGACTGGCTTGCTGACCCCATCCTAGGGCTCAGTATGGCCATGATTCCCACAGAGAGAAGAAGCCTGGAGCTAAAACCAAAATCCCAAACTCACTGTCATTGAGTTGACGCTGACTCACAGCAACCCTCTAGGGCAGGGGAGAGCTGAGATTGTGACTGCTTAGGGGAACAGAAAGCCCTGTCTTTTTCCCAAAGAGCGGCTAGTGGTTTCAAACTGCTGATTTTGTGGATTATAGCCCAACGTGTAACCAATATACCACCCGAAATTTACTCTCTTCTATTTTAACAAATGAGGTCAAAGCCACTGTCATCAGGTCACTTCCAAGGCACAGCAGCCGTACAATATTGGGTGTCTGAGGCTGGGAGTCCTTCTGGGAACAGGTAGCCTCATCTCTTTCCTCTGGAGTGGCTGGTGGGTTTGAACTGCCAAACTGTGGACATCGGGCCGACGTTTACCCAATGACGCTGCCAGAGGTCCTTTTCCAAGTTACACGAACTGAAAAAATCCCCCTTTTGCAGTTAGTCATTCAACTTGAGTTTGTGTGTCTACAGCTCCCCCAAAATGGCCCCCCAATTGCAGTGATGAAGCCGTTTGTCTAAGAGCACACAGTCGACGGGTGGCAGAGATACCCCCAGTAGACTCCAGGTCTCCGGTACACCTCCTTCCGTCTGGTCATTTTGCCCACGAGGGAAGTGGCTCTAAGAAAAGGTCAAAAGACACAAAAAGGTGCATCCAAGGGATTATAGAGAAACTAAGGGGATTAAGCTGTCCCTGGAGCCCACCCTACTCTCTGTTCCCAGTGGCGACTTATCAGCAAGTTACATGGTCATTTACTGGCAGCGCAGAGCATCCTAATGGACACAAGTTATTTGGCTTTGTTTTAATACCAGGACTGAGTTGTCATAGGTCCTGGGCGCTTGTCTCACCCCTTCATAGCTATATGACATCTCTTTTCCTCTCTGAACGAACATGACCTTGAAGGATCATCTGCTCTTAATGGCTTTTCTTTTTTTTTTTTTTGGAAAAATTAAAAACAGTGAGTGATTAATCAGAGCTCTAGGGGTTGTCTGGAAACAGGCTCTAGAGGAGATGATTCTAAAAGTCCTGGAGAATGTCTCAGGTACGGGATAGGAAGCAGAGCGTGGAGGGGACTCAGCCTCATGGGTAAGTGGGAAAGACTGCGGAGGAAGAAGCTGCGATTGAAATTAGAAGCTGCTTCTCTTGAGGGTTGACTGCTGCGTTTGTTGGCTTGTTTCTCAATGCGGGGAGCGGAGACGTTGGGACACGCCGGTTCAGGAGCCGAGAGAACATGCTCAGCAGAGGGTTGGCCAGACAACTGCGATGCAAACAATGTTAGAGCAACCGACAGACAGCCAGGAGCGTGAGTCACGACCAGGGCAGGGCCAGAGCCACCCCGGGGGAGGAAGCCACCCTACTGCATCCCAGAAACTTATGGGCACACAGCACTAACTGGCACAGTTTTAGAAGGATGCTCAGCCAATGACCTCTCGCAGGGTGTCCCACTTTGCTGAACCCCCACAATGAGAACTGGCCACAGGATGAGGATACTGGATGTTGGTCTTCTCCCCGTGATATGCTGGCTATAGGTGGCACGGAGCAAGTCTCTCTTAAAGGTTCAGCGTCTCCGCATCCTCATCCATCGCTGTGTGGCAGCTCTCACTGAGCTGGTCCCCAACTCACAGTGACCCCCCCACGCACTGGAGAGAAACACTGCCCAGTCCTGGCCGTCCCCACGATCAGCTGTAGCTCAGCTTATGCCCCGCCCCCACTGCTCCAGGGCTTCCAATGGTTGCTTATGGAAACGAGACCATCGGACCTTTCTTCCTCGGCCAGCTTAATCTAGAAGCTCTACTGCAGACTGACCAGCAGCATAGAAACACACAAGCCGCACAGCTCTCCCACCAGGAGGGTGAGCCTTCCACCCCGGGACCACCACCGCCCTTTGTCTTCATCGATCTACTGGGTGGTGAAAGCCTGTCCTCTCTAACAGGCCATGTTCCGGGGCAGCTGGCTATTCTCCCCCCTCTGCCAACCCCCTGACACAGTCTAACCCCTCACACTGACCTCAGCTGTGCCGCCAAACTCCCTCCCTGGAGGCCTCCTGCTCAGCCCCTCCCCACCCCCACCGAGCCGCCCCGCCCCAGCCCTGTTTGATGGCCTCCCATTTGTCACCACAGGCCGTAAACTGGCCCCAACTTGTCAGATGGGTTTCAGTGTCTTTTTATTCCATCAGTTAAAATAGTTGGGTGGCTGCTGGTTTCCCAATAGATTGATAGGTTGTTCTCCCGAATTGGGCAATTCTTTAGTGGCTTCCAGGTGGGAGGGGCGTGTGCTCCTGCGGTTAGGATGACCACTAAGCCAATAAACTGCAGTCGAACCGGATGGCAGCGCAATGAAACAAGGCAGTGGAAGCATGAACCGAGCCCTGTGGGATACGCCTGCGGTTGACCAAGGCCTCTGATCAGTGTTCCAGCTCATCTTGGAGTAGTCTGGTCCCACGTGCCTTAGACACGTGGACAATCCTTTTATTCACCGGTGAGTGGACAAAACAGCGTCTCCCTGACTCTGAAGCCATTCCCCGCCGGACAGAGCCTACCCCAGGAGACAGTGACCATCAACGTGCTGAAGTCCACCCACAGGGGGGAGGGGGCCGGCCGGGGCCGGGGGTAGGGCCCTAGACCACTGAGTGCACAGCGACAGCCTTTTTGTGTCCTCCTCATTTCCTGTTGGCCACTCAGCCACTTCTCCATGTAAAAGCCAGTGCCGTGGACGACACACTTCATGCTGGGTGGCCATTATCACTGTCTTTGTCCACATGACCCAACTGCCATCGACATAGACCCCATGCCCGGGTAGGCAGAGACTCCCCTTTATCCTCCGCTCCCAGCTCTCAACGTCAGAAAAGGCACAAAGAAACCCCACACTCACTCTGCCACCGGCTTGGTTCTGATTCAGAGCGACTGTGGGCTGGGGTCCAACTGCCCATGTGCATCTCTAAGACTGTGAATCCATCCAGGAACAGAAAGGCTCATCTTTTCCCCTGAAGGTTGACTGGTGCGCTCCAACCACTGAGCTGTGTGCCTAACCGCTCAAGATGTAAGGCCATCGCCAGGGGCCCCACCCCTAGTAACCACTAATGGCCTCTGGCCCCTATAGAGTTGGCTTATCTCATATTAAAACAAAAAAATCTCACTGCCATGGAGACCCCGCTGGCTCAGAGCAACCCCCCTGTGGGTTTCCGAGCCCAGTCTGTCTCGGGAGAAGCTGCTGGTGGTTTCAAACTGCTGACCACGCGGATCGCAGGCCAATGCATAACTCCTCCACCACCGGGCTCCTCCTCATTCCACACAGGTGGGCGATACAGTATTTGCAACGGACGTGCTTGGTTGTGACCCCATTTTCCATGGTCACTTTCCTCGCCACCTTGAGAAGCCCCGTTAGTCACTGGCATCGGCCCACCAGACGAGGCTAGACAGTGGGAGTCAGGTGAGGTGACCATGGGTTTACGGACCACTTGATCTTTACAAAGTGCCTCCACCCAGGTGATTGCCAGAGGTCTGCAGAAACAGCACGACAACAAGAAGGACTCCAACCGGGGTGGGTGGAGCCACGTACTTGAGAGAAAAGCGAAGCATCCTCCTCGAGAACCTATTCCCCGGTCTCCTGACAGTTCACCATCCCATCGCTCCTCCCTGCTGCGATGTGGATTGGCCCAGGGGAGTTCATATGGTGTGGATCCAGAACCCAATGGCATGCGGCCAACGGGATGGAGGGTGCTTTGCCCAGTTCCCAGGCCCAGGGTTTGAGCCCTAACATCACCATCTGCAGCCCAATCAGTGAGGAGGTTCCGGAAGTCACCCCTCTCCCGCAGGCTGGACAGGTGGGCCTGTGATCTCTTCTCAGACCTCCAACAGAGCACGCCACAGGTGAGTGAACTCAGAACGGACATGCTCTGGCGTCCCCCAACAAGACGGCCACCAGTGCCCTGCACTTGAATAGATGTCTCAGGCATGCTCTGTGGTCCACCGATGGTAAGGACTCCTCGGCCACTCCAAGGGAAAAAGAGGAGACTGTCAAGATTTAGCGTCTCAGAAACCCTACGTAGGGGTGCGATGGCCCCGAATTGACGACAGGTTTTAGGTTGGAACTAGCAACCCCTGCATTATAAAGGGATGCGTTCTCTGTTTATGAGACCCTGCCTTGTGGCTTTTTCTTTGCGAAGGAGCACAGGGTTGACCCTGCACGCTGTTGGGATGAGAAAAACCAGATGAAAGAAACCCAATCAGCATCGCAATACCCCTCCACCTCCTCCCCGATACAAAAGATGGGGCTCCAGGCCACCGCCTAGCCTCTGAATTTCCCCTGCAGGGCTCTGCCTGCTTTCTTGGAGGACGCATTGCTGAGGCAGCACTGTGAACGGGCTGCTCTGCTAAGCACAGAGCCCTGATCAAGGAGCAGTTAGCATCAAAGCTGCAGCCTGGCTCTCATTCTCCTCTGGAGCGGAGATCCAGATCCCTCATTCCCAAATGATGCTGCTCCCCACCAGCCTCCGTGGACCTCCCCAAACCTCTCCCCACCACAGAACTTTCCAGCACTTTGCCTGACCGGCTCCGCCCCTCCTTCCCGGACTCTCTTCCAGGGCAAAGGCACTGTTGGGTTGGGAGGCCTTCGCAACCCCCCATTTCAGGGCCATTTTGCTAGAAAGGGGGAACCAGAGCCCAGTGAGGACCAGGAGCAGACTGAGGTCATGGTGGCCCCTGTCATGGGTCAGAGCGGGAATCCAGCCCTGAAGGCAGCTCTATCAGAAATGCAGCCAAGGGGAGGCTGGGCTTCAGCTCCTCCATGAAACAGTGCGTGGATGGGCATGGCTGCTACTTCTGGGAGAGAGGCGGATACACACACAGCTCGTAGACCAGGCTGACTGCGATTGGAGCAGAGGGCAGGGCTCGTCGGAGTTGGAGGAGACCTTTCTCCCAAGACCACGCCATCCCCACCACGTTCACCAGGGTTCTCCCTTCCAAAAAGTACCGAGAGCTGGACTTCCACGGAAACAAATCAAGCTTCCTTGAAGGGCACCTGTGCTCTCTCAAGGTGGGGTGCACCAATTCTGGAGGAGTCCCACCTGGAGAAGCGCACCCCTCAGAATTTTGGAACCCTTCCAGAATTCACTTTAGTCTGCCAGCCCCCCTCCAGCCCCTTGCTCAGGACTCTATCCTACATCATTATACAGCAATCTTGGATGGTACAGGAGCACGTGGCCTTGCAAAAGGAATGCGTCCTACTCACAGCGCATTCAGGAGACGTCCTCCGAGCCGGCCAACTAGATCTGCTCCTCTGGCTTTGTTATTTATACGCCCATGACCTGCAGGAAAAAGCAAAGGAGAGGACAATGCATTTGACTTTCCCAGGTGGGCAGGTGATGGAACAGTGGCTTGGGTGCCTGCACCGTGGGCCAGTCACATGACATTGTTTAGACCACACCCTCTGGGCTGGGTCTTCCCCAGGGGAGAACATTGAGATCTTTCGCAAGGATTCTGTTTCCCAATAGCAGTCTGGATCTGGAGGCCGGTAGCCCAGCCTGTGGTGTGACCCTTGAATCTTCAGCCCCATCACCACCCTAGCCACCCCAGGGAAGCAGCTGATCCCTGCTCTTCACGGGGTCACCTCCCTTCTTTTTCGATTGCTCAAAAGCTCCAAATCGCCAGTTCCATTCTTAGCCCTTATTGTGTTCTTGTAGTTCCTGGTTTGGAGGGTGGGAGGTGGGTGTAAATGATTTATTTCTGGCTATTCCCTAAGGTTGACAGTTCGAGCCTACCCAACAGCTTCACAGAAGAAAGGCCCGATGGTTTTCTGTAACTATTCCAATAACAACAAGAACAACCACAAACCCTCTGGGACAGTCCACTCTGTAAAGCATGGGGCGGTGGCAGTGCTTCACAGTGAGTTCTCTTCGGGAAGGAGAGGAGGGGGAGTCGATGGACAGATAAATACATAGTGCCTGCTGGGGATGACAGGAATGCGAAATGACCCACATGCTAAATCGGATTTAACAAGGGGCAGAGGACACACATAGATGACTCCCATGCAGGTGGCCAACAAACACATGAAGAAATGCTCACGCTCATTAGCCATTCAAGAGATACAAATCAAAACCATGAGATAATCATCTCACCCCAGATAGGACAACAGCAACCAAAAAATTAATGCCGGTGAGGGTGTGGAGAGGTTGGAGCTCTCTGATGTAAGAACTGTACAGGGTGCAACTACCAAATGGCAAATGGTCTGGCTTTTCCCGGAGAAGTTCAAAATAGAGGTACCGTATGATCCAGCAATCCCACTGCTAAGTATACATCCTAGGGAAGAACTAGGAGCCGAGGTGCAAAGAGATCAGAGGATAAGCCCACCCACCTTCCCCCCAGCACTCACCACAACACAAAGACAAGCAGCCTACATGCCCCCTCATGGCAGACTGGAGACATGCGCTATACCTGCAGTGGGATCATGCACAGCATTGAAGAAGAAGGCTTCAGGAGGGGAAGCACCTGAGAACATGGGCAAACCTGGAGGACATTAAGCCGAGTGAAACGAATCGAGCACAAGGACAGCAAGTGTATGCGATCACTCTTACAAAAGTCAAGAAAAGGTGAAGGCACAAAATAAAACACTCTTGGACGGTTACCGGGGATGAAAGGTAAAACACAATGGTGGTGAGCAGCACAAGCTAGCCAAGGCACAGGAAGACACTGGGACATGCACAAGAACACAAGACAGCCAAGGAGCCCTGGGCATGCAGTGGCTATGCATTGGGCTGCGATCTGCAAGGGCAGAGGTTCAAAACCACCATCCGCACCACTGGAGAAATACTGGTCTTTCTACTCCTATAAACAATTATCATCTCAGAAACCCACAGGGGCAGGGGGTCGCTATGAGTCAGCATTGATTCGAAGACAGTGAGAGAGAGAGAGAGAGAGAGAGAGAGAGAGAGAGAGAGAGAGAGAGAGGCAATAACAAGAATAGCAAACAGTACATAAGGGTAGATACCAAGTAGACCTGCAAGCTTAATGGACATGAGATGGCAAAAGGAAATAGGCTCAAGAGTATAAATAGCTTTGGTGATGAATAATTCTACGTATGTAATCGTGTGTGCTACAGCTATAGCTACAGGTGTTATAGAACATACAGTGCAGTTTCTGAAAATTTTAAGGTGAAATCAGATGGAGCAGTGGGCTTGGGGGACTAGGTCCTTTTCTCTACGGACCGGACATCCAGGTCAACTGGATTAACATCGTGGGAAAAGGCCATGTTCTATACCTTATTTCAGTGAATTGTGACTGGGGTCTTAACGCTTCCGGCCACACAAGATACAACTAACTGCTGGTTTCTTCCCACCCAAAGTGAAGACGGGTGAGGAAAATCAGACTTGAGGAAGCAATTAGTCCGAAGGACTAATGGACCCCAGCCTCCATTAACCAGAGACCAGAAGAACTAGATGGTGCCTGGCTCCCAACCACTACAGACTTCTCTGATCAGAGTCTCACCAAAATATCCTAGACAGAGTGGGAGAAGCATGTAGAACAGCATTCAAAATCAGAAACAAGACCAGAGTTACCATTCTGATAGAGACCAGGCCCTTAGACTCAACCCGGCCTCCTGGCTCAACCTCCAGCCAAACAGTAGACAGGCCCATAAAGCAATAAGAAAACCAGGGAAGAGTGTATTCCTCAACACAAATACAAGGCTTTGCCCCTAAACAAAGCTCAGCCGTCAGGAAGGGGCAGGAAAAAAGGACAAGTGGAAACAGGGCTCCGGGAGGAAATGGGCGGAGGCTTGTTACCTGGAGGGACCCCCAATCAATGTCATGTAACAAAATGTGTATAAACGGTTGATTTTCAAGCACATTTGCACCCTAAGTGTTCTCCTGAACTATAACTTTAAATAATACTAATAAGGTTTATGAGAATTCCAGGAATCCCAGATTGGTTGTCTGGTGCATGTTCTGAGCTTTCTGCCTGGTCCAACTCATCGTTAAGGATCAGGCATTATGTTAGAATCATATCTTTTAACACTTAAAGCAAAATACAGCTGCTTGTCCTCAACGACTATCACCCTGAGAAAGCAGGGTTGACAATGTCTGAGAACCTTGGGGACGCATTGATCTTGAGATGGAGATGATCAGATCTATCTTCCATCCTGTCTTCTCTAAAAACTTCAGGGAACAAAAAGAGAATGAGGATCATCCTTCACCGCTTGGTGGGATTTCATTCCAGATACAAGGTGGCCAGAGTGAAGGCAGTGAATGTTAGGTGTGGCCCAAGCCCCTCCGTCTCTGTGGGGCACCTGGGTGCCCTTCCTTGGCAGCTCGGCCCATGCTCAGCCACCGACTTCTCTGTGGGGCCTGCGTGTGGCTAGGCTGCCACACCAGTTTCTGTCCAGCTTCCACACTAGAAAGACAAAGCTTGCCTCCCCTTGAAAGTTAATCAATGAAGGCCCTGTGGGTCCCCAAGCTCCAATGATCATGGGGAGGACACGGGACTGGGCAGCAGCTCATTCCGCTATGCATGGGGTCATCAGGGGTCAGGGGTCAGAGCCAACTCAATGAGCACAAGCACCATCATGTGACCACGGTGCCATCAAAGCGTCAGGAGAGCCGGGCAGGGGGCCTGCCCTTCTTTCAGAATTTCCATTTTTTGCAAGGATGTTGACTCAGATCTGAAAGCCGCAGAGAGAAGGGCACCTCAGAAATCTTCTAGAATAAAGGCCACCCTGATTCCCCCCTCACCCCCAACCCTACCCCGATGCCCCAGGCCTGGGTCACCCACACCACACCAATGCCTCACACGGTGGGTAAAGGAAGCCTTACTCCCCAGGGGCGGTGGACAGAACTCACCCGGACTAAAACCAGGGCCGAGGTGAGGACAGGTGGTTCCCCAGGTGGTGGCGTCTCGCAGAAGGTGCAGACTGGAGCACAGAATCTGGGACGTGCCCTGCACTTGTCTGCTAAGGACAGGGCAAGACCTGTGTTCAAGCCGGTGCCACACCCCCTGGGCCTGCCCCTGAGGCTCCATCCAGAGGAACTCCCACAGGAGACGCAAGGGGAGAGGCTGGGCAGGGCATGACCATGCAGGGTGGGGGACACTCGCTGGCTGAGGGCCATAGGACTGACTGCACAGGAGCCTGAGGGAGGTGGAGGATCGGGGCTGTAGAATGCACCAGGGGCTAAATCTCAGTGAGGGGTCACCCTCTCCTTCACCCACCTGGTCTCCAGGGGAAGTGCCCCTGGATCCCTGCCCCAGAGGGTGGAGTGAGTGGGGAGCAAGCAGAGAAACTGCTTTGGGGGACTTCCTCCACAGACGGATCACAGTTGAGGTTTGAGGCGTCCCTGAACCCCTGTAGGTGGGAAGATCCTGGGGACAACGATGGATGCCTTCCCCGGAGCAGGGCAATGGGTTGAAGGGCCTGAGGCTGGGAGTGGCCCGAGCGTTTTGTTTGTTACTGTAGGGAAATCGTGCGTGACCCAACACGGAGGACATGGCCCAGGAGACACTCTCTCCTGGAGCGACCCATCTCACTCTCGTTTCCCACACCGTCCCACCGCCATTCACACTCGATGCCCCCTTCGCTCTCACTGCCCCCCTCCTCTCCCCTCCCACCCTGGCAGGCTAGGAATAATAACCTTTGGCATGTATACGTTTACTTATTTCATGTAAGTGAGATCCCCCAGTGTCTGTCCTTCTGCGACGGCTGGACTTTGCGGGGCATATTGTTGTTGAGTTCCCCTGAGCTGTGGCCTGCACCAGGCCTCCGCTCCTCTTTCGGGCTGGGTCAGATCACAGTTGGTTCATCCCTCCCTCTGTCAATGGACCTTTTGCTCTGAATCAGAACCAACTGGTTTCAGCAACTGATATCAAGCTTCTCCATCACCTCTTCCCACGGAGTGAGCCCATTTCATTTCTGTGCATTTCATCTGGGAAGTCCACGGGTGGGCGTAGTCACCTGGGGTGTATGTGGAAAAAAGCAAAAAGCATTTGCTATGAACAAGTCGTTGGTCTTGCAAAACTCTATCGTGCTTCATTTCTATCGCTAAGACCATACTTTCTGTTCCTGCCTCTTTGTTTCCAACTTTTACATTCAATCGTCGGTAATTCTCGATGCCCCTTGATTGCACCATTGATCAAGTCCCAACGGAAGCTGGTGGTAGAATTCTTCAATTTCTGCCTCACTAGCCTTTGTAGTTGGTGAATAAATTTGAATAATAGATGTATTGATTGGTTTTCCTTGAAGGGAAAATAGACACCATCCTATCACAGACAGTGTTGTACTTCAGGATTGATTTTGAAATGGCATTTTTGAT